AATATTTTCCGGGATTTTATCAACTATCTGATAGAATTCGTGTTAATAAGTATTTATTGCCATTAATTTGTCATAAGATTATTGATCATTTACCTTTTGATACATGACTGACGAATAAGATATTTTTTCCTAATAATTAGGTTGCCATTTTTTGATGGTAGACCAGCATTTGCAGGGCTATAGAACTCAATCTGGCCTGCTATCAAAAAAAGGCTTATGATTCATACTTTTCTCAAGTGTATTAGAAGGGATAGGGAATGTAATGGATTCAGATTTTAAATTGAACTCGGCTCTCCGATTCCTCAATCCGAGCTGCTATCAATTACTCCACTGTGCCTCCAGTTAAATCGAAATGTTAACCTTATAATATAGCCTTCGTATTTGTATACGTACCCGAAAAAATTTATGGAAAGTTTTTTGCACAATATTTAGATTGTATTCTCGACAATGCCAAGGCTCAGTGCAAATCGCAAGAAATCCCAAACGTCATGTAAGACATAAAGACCAGATGGTTGAAATACAGGATGTCCCAGAATAAGTGTAACCCAAGAATGTGAACACCATTTATTTTCTGTTTACAAACAATATATGTTGTTGCATACCTACGGACAATAATGGGTATGTCCCCATTCACATAAATACATATATATATTGATCTACAGATGGAGATCTCCGGTTCCTGGTCGTTTCTCGGCCTTTGCCTGGGATTCGGCCGCGGATCACGTCTAGTCACGTCTAGTTTGGACTGGACCAAGCCTGGACCTGCTAAGACGAGCTAAGACTAGCTTTGACTAAGCTCTGACCAGCTTGGACACGTTATGACCAGTTTTGGACAAGTGGCCTGAGAGAAAAAAGGGTCTAAAATCTAAACCGACCTTGTGTCACATCCTGAGAAAAAAATAATGTCTACAGATGGAATTCATCTCCAGTTTAAATAAATCAAATTCAAAAAAAGGGCAGAGAGGATGTTTTAAGACGAGGCTATGACAAAGGATAGTCTCCTCTCGGGAAACAGCTACCGACCCCGTTTTATACGAGGTCTACAGGGAAATTTTGGACGAGCCTATAATTTCGGATACCCCGCATTAAATTCTGCATTGTACAACATCTGAGCGCCTGATTGGTAGATATGTTGCAATTGGAGTTTCATTGTAGAATTTTCTTGATTCATTTCTAGCAGTTGACTACTTATTCTACGCGACGCTGGCGAATCTTATATGTGTGTTGTATTATCGTTCATTTCCAACCTTCGTGTGATTATTCTATTCAGTAACCTTCCCTAGGCTACAACAATATACAAACCATATATTTCTGAAAACTAGAAAATTTAGCATGTCTACTGCTCCAAACAACATGTCACTAGCTCTACTAGCAAAGATTTTTATCGTTATTTATAGAATATTCTTCAAATGTTATAAGTGTGAGTTCAATACCTGGTTAAGGCAGTGGAGAACTTTCAGAGGGGAATTAACAGGAAATAACTGACATCCATTAGACATGGCACGTGGAACTAGAACAATCTACCCCAGTGAGCGAAATAAAGGGTTCAGTTCGACATTCCAACCACTTGAAGAAGGCCGGAGCGTACAACGGCCGAAACGTTGTGATAAACATGGCGACAAAGATGAGGACAATAGTTCGAATAATGTAAATAAGGTTGATTTATTTAGGAAATATATTAGAATAATCCGGACCTTATACTGGGAGCAAACCATCCGTACATGGATAGAAAATGAATTCAGTGAATACACAGAAATAGAAATATGCGTAAGACAAGGACGTGTCTTCACACTGGACTTATTTAAACTTTACAGTGAGATGATCCTGAGAGAATAAGAATCCCTACCAGGGTTCATTACTGGTGGTCACAATCTTAAAATATGATATGCAAATGACACAGTCTTTATTGAAGACACAGAAAGGAAACCACGGAAAGTCTAGCAGAAGAAAGGACTAAACATTCACTGTAAAAAGACAGAATGCATTGGTTGTCAGCAAAAGGAAAAACCAAAGGCGCAAACTAAAAATTGGAGGTACCAAAATCATGTAAGTAGAAAAATTTAAATATCTAGGAAGTGTTTCAGCAGAAGACGGAAATTGTGGCGCGGAATTCCGAAGGCGTATTGGGATAGCGAAAGATGCCTTCCAAAAACTAAGCAACGTTACAAATAGGAAAAAATCAATTAGAAACAAATAAGAGTACTTAACTTTTATGTAAAATCATTATGGCAGTGAATGAGGGACAATCTCACCACAGATGCAAAAGAGAATTGAAGCAACAGAAATGCAGTTCTACAGAAGGATGCTGAGAATATCATGGACTAAACATATGTGCAAAGAAATTTTATGGACAAATGGAAACAAAAAGTGTATCAGGAAATCAGGAAGAGTAAATCGAATTTCCTAGAGCACATAATGAGGAAAAGGGGCTTGGAGGATTTGACACTCACAATATTTACTGAAGTCAATAGGGGCATAGGAAAATAGCGAATAACCTACCTTGTGTAAATGTTTATCAGAAAAGAAATGAAGGATAGCAAACAGACGAAACTTATTAAGAGCCACAATGGACAGGAAGCTGGGGAGGGCTATGATCGCCCATGTCTTGTAGATTATTTTCCTCGTCATTGAGTGATTCAATTTTTTTTTCTGTTTGATCTGGGGGAAAAATTAAAATTGATTTAGTTAAAAACAAAATTGCATTTACTATGTGATTTTGGGTTTTTTTCAAAAAAAGTTCAACTACGAAACAAACATTCGTTTATGTGATATCTGTTTTCTGTTTCTTTATTTATGAAAATCAGATAAACATCCTTTCTGTTATGGAGTGGTTTCACAGTGGAGGCTTGTATTTGTACTAAGTCGGTCCTAAAATAGGTTCGACGTACAAAACGTTAGGAACTTGATATAATAGGTAATGACGCAGTGTAATCTAGTTATGGTCGCTGATACTTTAGTATCCGACTAACGGTCGTCTGGCATCGACTGACTGCCCGAAGATATTCAGTCACCCCACCACGAGGGCGTCATGTGGCACAAGGCCTTTTTAACGTGGGATCTCCGAGCCCTTGAGCTCGACCAAAAATATGCACATTGAACCCGTATAAACGGGTTCAGGGTCGGTTTACCTCCCCGAAAGAGAATTCGCCCTTCGGCGTTGCCTCGTTCGGATTCCTCCCCGCCCGAAGGCAAAGAGTTCAACCGATCAGCCAGTCAACTGACTGACCGACCCACTGAGCGACTCCTACTTATTATAGGTGGGAGAGTCTATTAACAATAGAATAGGTGTGTTTCACTATAACACTTTTAGTTGGGCGTTTCTGTATTTTTTGCACGCATTGTAGTAGCAGTATTACTTAAATTTTATTTTTAATCACCGTATATACTCGCGTATCATGCGATTTTTGAAGACCTAATTTTAAAATTAATTTTAACCCGAGTATATACTGCTGGCTCTGGATACGTCGTTGACCAAACTTATATCCATTGACTGTTGTAAAAAAGTACAGCTGTATTTAAAATAAATATCATTTTGATAAAACTTATGTTTAACTTAACTGTATCCCATAATAAAGCATTTAATATTCACATATTAGTATCGCATTATAAAATACAAACATAGCGAATAGCATCTTTACCATTGTTGACGTTTATAAGTTGTTTAGCTGTTTCTCGTTTGGTTGTTAATGGCTGTACATGTTTACACAACGATTATAGCGTTGCTAACGACACTTTTATCATTGTCTGTTAGTTTTTTAACTTATTTAACTAGAAGATGGGATAAAGTGATAGAGGAAAAGAGGTTAGTCTATTGTAATTTGCTCTCTCAACAAAGGAACTCGCATCAAACACGAGATACATGATAAAATCATTTTTTTATCAGGGGAAAAATTTGGAGTCGCACGATATCCGTGTTATATGAGTATATATACGGTAAATAAAGCGTTGTTAACCATTATTATTATTATTGATTTAATTTCATCTTAATATTTCATCTGCTTTTCATCAAGATAAAAGGAAATCTATGTGCCATGTCCCTTCAGAGCGTCGGCGATCATGGGCCTCTATAATTTCCTCTCCTTTGTAGAACTTAATAAATATTATCGTTTTGTTATCTCTCCTAAAACTTGCTCTACTGTCCGTCTGCTCACACTCTCTATGTAGGTTATGCCTTATTTTCCTCTGTTCCTCTTGCCTTCAATCTGTCCTGTGAGTATCTAATTTTCCAATCACTCTTTCCTCATTACGTGCCCTGGAAAATTTAACTGTCTCTTTCTATAAGTATCTTTTTTTTTTTCTTTTTCATAGTCCCTAAAACCTTGTCGTTGTTCACATTTTCAGCATCCTTTTGTAGAACTGTCGGAGTTATCTCCTCTTTAATTCGCTAATTGTTCATTAGGGGGAGCTCTCCCTACATTATAAATACTGGGCAACATCCTGCCTCGTTCTCTTTTTCACTTTGCATTTTAGCGGACTCATTTAAAAATGTGATCTCTCGCAGAGGTTCGCGTTTTCGATATATATTTATAATACTTCTCCAATTCACTCTCGTGTGGTCATGTGTGACGTCATGAGATGCGGTGAGATTTTCGCTTCTAGGGTCTTATATGCGCGTGTTTATCATTGCTTAGAAATCATCCATGTAAACATTCACAGACTATCATCACTGTCTTGTCCGTATATTGCTTAATA